TGGGTGGCCCATCCGCTTCTCTTCAGCTTGGCACAATTCCTCCTTCTTTGGATCTGGCTAGGTTTCTGGATTTCTCTGCTGGGTTTCATCCAACAGAGAAACTGGCTGCGTGTGTCATCCTGTAAGAGATGCTCTTTGGAGGTGCCTGTGGACAGCAAGGGACCTGAGGATTTGCTTGGGACAAAGTTGAAAGGAGGTTTATCCTACTTAAGAGCAGATTAATGAACATAACATCCCTGGAAACAGAGTTTGCAGCCAGAGAAGGATAGAAATACAATGGCAAGTTAATCTGGGAGACTTTAAATGAAGAAGGCAGAAGCTTGCTGACCAGCTTTCCTGACCACATCCTCCTCTGCTCTGTGAACGGCTGTGGGGGCAATGCCATGCTACTCCCTGTCTCCCACCACATGTTCATCGATCCCTAAGGATGCGATCTCACAGCATGTCAGTGCCCTCCCTGACTGCATGTCCTCCGGCACGGCAAGCACCGTGCAAAGCCCATACTCATCTAAACTTGACTTGATTAATTCCTCCCTTAAAGACTTTTTAATCCCTTCAGCCCTGCAAACAATGCTGGCTGGGGGCCCAGGTATCGCTTCATCTCCAGGTTGTTGCTGGAGCACCCAGCCCTCCAACCCTTTGGACTCAGGGAGAATTTTACTTTCCTCAAGCATTAGTGCATCAGCCTTACACAGGGAATCACCCGTCCTCCCTCTTCCCATGGTTTGGGGCAGGACAGTCCAGTCTGTAGGGGACAACCAGGAAACCCCAGCCGCTTCTCAAGGGGTGAATTAAAGCAGCCTCGTTGAACCAGTGCTGAACTCCTGGGCTGATATAGTCAGTCAGAAGCCCTAATTCCAATTAGCTTAATTCCACTCCAAAATGACTTAAAAAAACCCAGAACAAAACAAATACCAAACGAAGGCCACTTTAATACCAGCTAAGAGCATCTACTTGGGATGTTAATGCGGTTTAACTAATCCAGTTTAAAATTAATTTGGATTAATTTGCTTGAGATCCTCACCAGTACGTGCGCTCTTATCAGAGCTCCTGAAAGTCTTGCGTATGCATTTCCTAACACAGCTGACAGTGAATGGAGCAGGTCTCACCACGTCTCTGTGGGAGCTGGGGGAGCTGGGGCAGGGTCTTGGACTCATATTTGAGTAGATTGAATAAAGGGGTGTTTCTGCTACAGAGTAATCACCATGAGCACTGAACAACTGTGGCTGTCAAGATATTTCTCCATGAAGGAGAAGCATAAAGTAGACCTCATCCTTCAAAACACAAACTGAAGTTCATTTGTTGGGAAGGCCAAGATGACCCCAGATCTGGAATCTGGAAAGCCTCGTAACACCTTTGACAAGGGGTCATTACCACTGTCAGCAGCCAAGACACCAGCCAGCATCCTGACCGTGCCAAGGGGAAGCTTGGGGAAGGCAGCAAACCCATGGCTGTTTGGAGAGCACAACCCTGAGCTGCTAACAGCTCCTTGCCTCCTGACCACAGATCATACCCATTAATTTGGCATCCCTTAGATGCTTCTGAGTTGAGAAACTCGTCTTGTCTCACCAAGAAAACTTTGGGTCAAGCACTTGTCTCACTTAGATGTTTACGCACAGACCGGCTTGGCTGGACCCGTAAGTCCTTTGACAATTATTAAAGGTTCAACTCACGTAGAAAGAGACCGGAGCAGCAAATGCCATCCGGTGGGTGTGGAAATAACAACCCAGCCAAGGCAGGAATGAGGAGAGTCCCAGCCCTCTGCACCTCAACCCCAGCCCCGTTGAGCACTTTGGGCCTGGAGTGCAGGAGAACCAGGCTGTGCGGTGTCAGGTATTAACTTTCCTGGCAGTTTGTGAACAGAGATTGACCTCTGGCAGGAGGAGAGGGAAGAAGCGAATAAACAGTGGGAACAATCCGGATGGGAGGATCGAGTTTCTGTGTTAAAGACTTTCCAGAAGGAGAAGGGTGGTTTAGAGTCCAGGGCCCCAGCCTATGGCATAAGAGACTTTGCCCAAGTCTCTCCTCTGCTACAGATTTCCTTCTCAGTCTTGTACAAGCTCTTTGGTTTCTCTGTAAGTTCTGGCCAGATCATCCAAATGTGAGCAGACACGGTGACAAAATGGGGACCTTCTCTCCCCTCCTTCGCTTATGCCCTGGAAGGAGCCCAGTCTACAAAGCTGAAAGAGGCAAATAATTCAACTCAGTCGCCAAGATGTGGTCAGTGCTAGTGCAGGGGACAGCTCTTGCAGAAACATTAACCAGATCCACCAACTCTTGAGTGACTGGACTCCTGCCCTCTAGCTACCCATGGCTTGGAGCAAGGAGTCAAAAATCACAGAATCACAGCCTGGTTGAGGTCAGAAGGGACTTCTGGAGGTTGTCTGGTCCAACCCCCCATGCTCAAGCAGGGCCACCCAGAGCCGGTTGCCCAGGACCGTGCCCAGATGACTTTTGAATATCTCCAAGGATGGAGACTCCACAACCTCCCTGGGCAACCTGTGCCAGTGCTTGGTCACCCTCATGGTGAAAAAGTGTTTCCTGATGTTCAGAGGGACCCTCCTGTGTTTCGGTTTGTGCCCATGTCCTGGTCCTGGCACTGGGCACTGCTGAGAAGAGCCTGGCTCCGTCCTGTTCACATCCTCCCTTTGGGTATTTGTATACATTGATGAGATTCCCCGGAGCCTTCTCTTCTCCGGGCTGAACTGTCACAGCTCTCTCAGCCTTTCCTCACAGGAGAGATGTCCCAGTCCTTTGATCATCTTTGTGGTCCTTTGCTGGACTCTCTCCAGTTACGTCCATGTCTCCCTTGTACTGAGGAGTCCAGAACTGGACCCAGCACTCCAGGTGTGGCCTCACCAGTGCTGAGCAGAGGGCAAGAATGACCTCCCTCCACCTGCTGGCAATATATCTAACACAGCTGAGGATACCATTTGCCGCCTTTGCTGCAAGGTCCCATTGCTGGCTCAAATTGGTGTCCACCAGGACCCTCAGGTCCTTTTCTGCCAACTGCTTCCCAGCAGGTTGGCCCCCAGCATGTACTGGTGCTTGGGGTTGATCCTCCCCAGGTGCAGGACTTTTTGTCCTTTTCCTTGTTGAACTTCATGAGATTCCTGTCAGCTGGATACATAGAGTGAGAGAGACAGATCATGATCAAGCTCCAAAATGCACGTGTGGTTTAAAAGGCCCAATCCAGAACCAACAGTGGGCAGTAGGATTCCAGACTTTAGTGGCATTGAGGCCACTAGGGAGATGAGGAATCATTTATCAGAGACAGATGTGTCATCCAGGGGCACTGTAAAACACCAGGGGTTGCATTTAGCTTTGTCTGTGGCCAGAATTAACCTCACCCCCCCCCCCCCCAAAAAAAAAAAAAAGCCTAGCAAATAGTATGGCAATGCAAAGCAAGATGAAAAATGCAGTATCTGAAAATAGGTGCACACTACACAAATAAAATAAATCACAAGGTGATCTCAATGGAAAACATCAAGAGAAAGTATGATGAACCAGAAACAGAGCTGGAAAGATTGCTGGTTGGCGGGTGCCCAGTCCTTTGTAAGGGGACATAACATCCCTCTTCTCTTCCCTCACTTCTTCTCATAGAATCACAGGATGGTTTCGGTTGGAAGGGACCTTTCAACGCCGTCTCGTCCAACCCCCCTGCCATGGGCAGGGACATCTTCAACCAGATCAGGTTGCTCAGAGCCCCGTCCAACCTGACCTTGAACGTTCCCAGGGATGGGGCATCGACCACCTCTCTGGACAACCTGGGCCAGGATTTCACCACCCTCAGCGTAAAAAAATTCTTCCTTATATCTAGTCTGAATCTCCCCTCTTTTAGTTTACAACCATTACCCCTTGTCCTATTGCTACAAGTCCTATTCTTCACTCTTTCCCCTCCTGTCCTCCCCTTTCACTGGGCGAGCACCAACGCAACAGCTGGATGTGTCCTGGGAGGGGGGTTTAAGTATATGTGGTATTTTAGCACAGGTAAACTTTCCCATTGAAGCAGTTTGCATAGCTCAGTGGATAACCTGAGTTCAGCTCTTCATTAGCAGGGAAGGTGGTGTGATCCTGGGGTGCAACCAGCCTGCTGTCACCCCCACTTCTTGCCACCCTGCACACACACAGGCAGAAATTTAGTGGTTTCCAATGCACCTGAGCATCTCGCCTCCCTGGTTATAAATCACGCAGAGATGAAAGGCTGTTTGGAAGCTGAAGATGAATGCAGGAAACATTGATGCAAGCTGAGATTACTCAAAAATGAGCAAATGGTGACAGGGGCCCTGGGCACTTAGTGATTCAGCCATCTGCCCCTCTTCCTGTGGAGGCACCTCTGCACCCAGGCAGCGGTGGGACTTTTGTTTGTCCGTTCCCCTCATTAGGAGCAGGCGCTTGAATGGGCACATGTGTACAGTCAACAGTGCCTTAGGACAGATGGGAAATTAGCCACGACATAAGAAAGTAAAATATACCCTTGTGATTAACCTGCGGTACTGGCTGCTTCTAGGAAAACACATGCACCATTAGCTGCTGCCCGAGTGTGGATGGGACAGGGGTACTCGGAGAGGGGACGCGCTAAGACGCACAAAGTTTTGGTTCTTCTTGAGCACAAGTGCCTTTGAGCTGTCTGGAAATTCGTGGTGACTCTGTGATGGCTAACCTTGGAAAGGTTCATCCTTCCCTGGTGCTGTGAGCATCCTCGGCACCCACAGAAAGGGTGCTGGCTGATGTTGGCAGGGTCTTCTCGGTGGCGTAGCTGGAGGATGGGTTTGTCTTTTTGGCTAATGGGTGGGAGGAAATGGAAATACGGGCAATGAAACACATCTCAGTGAGAAATGATTGAGTCGTTCCAGTTGACCTTTTCCAACAGAAGGCACGGTGGGCGCTAGGGACCCCCCTCCAGGCATCCCCTCCCTGCTCTCCATAGCCAATGCTCCATCCCCCCAGGGGGACAGCACTAACTCATGGCCCCTTTTTGGTTCCATCTCTGTGTCCAGCTGGTGAAGACAGCGGAGCTGGACCCCAGGCAGAACTACCTGATGGGATTTCATCCCCATGGGGTCCTGGCAGCAGGAGCCTTTCTCAATTTCTGCACAGAGGCATCAGGCTTTTCCACTCTCTTCCCGGGCATCACCCCACACCTGATGATGCTCTCCCTGTGGTTTCGCATCCCATTCTTCAGGGACTACCTGATGAGCGGAGGTAAGTAGGGCAACAGCGTGAGCCAACCCCTCTGGCAAGCGGTGGGATGGGTGGGTGCTTTTTGGGGGAGCAGAGAGTGAAGACACCAGGGGAAGAGGAGTCAAGGGTTTGGTTGTCCTCATCTGTGGCCGACTGGATCCCATGCATGGACACAGCTACTGGAGGTGGCACCCCAAAACTCTCTGAAGTTAAAAATTGCCCTCCTAGCTGTTACCTCTCTTGTTCAACTTCATAGATCGCCTCTGAGCTCAGGGCATCGCTGTGCCAGGCGCTGTGTAACAGCAAAATGCAGTGCAAATCTTAACCAGAAATACTGAGACCAGCAGGACAGGGTGGTCCTGTATTTCTTTCTTTCCATGCAAGTAACATTCAGGCTTGAAATTGTGGTTGCCACTGAAAGAAGGAGAAAATCTATTTTTCCGAAGCTGCTGCTGCTTGCAGGGAAGCAGCATCCAGTGAGAGAGGATCCAAATAGCAGCTCGCGCTGTTGCAAAACCACGTGGTAGGAGAGGAAGAAGAAATGAAAAGGAATAGGTAAAAATGAAATGGAGAGAGGGGAAAGGGAGCCTGGAGACATTTTTGGCAGGAGATGACCTCCATCTCTCACCGGTGGGCTTGGGGAATGGCCACTTCTCCAGCAGAATGGGCTCGTGTCGTGGGCAGGATTCAATAGACCAAACACAGGCATCCAGCTCTGTCTGAGATACCCAGGGCATTCATCACCCTGTTTTCCACATAAACTCTGGCTCCTGCTGCTGAAAAAATATTTACACGAGAGCGAGGAATCATAACAGAGAGATATGAGAGAGTTATGACCCAGGCAAAAGAAGGTTTAATCACTGTAATGTGAGAGTTCGGCGCATAGCTCATTTTCAGGTCGATTGAATCCATTTGACAAAGAGATTTTAATTTGCAAATTATTTCAGCCCCTGAAACAAGGATTTTTTAAAAAATCAAAACAATGTTGTTTTGCCATTTCTGAATTAAAGATTTCTAACTTTTGCAAGTAAATAATATCAAGGGACGAAGTTCTGCATTAAATTCCACTTTAAATTAGCAGCATCCACTGAAATTCGTGTGTGTTTTGACCGAAAGCAAATGTTTCACTGACTTTAGAATGATCCAGGATTGGACACTGTTTCATTTGACAATAAACCAAAACAGATTTTCCCTGGGGCTTAAGTGCAGCTAGTTCTCAGTTTACTTTTTCCTGATTTTTTTTTTCCCGTTTCTTGCTTCGTGAGATTGCCAAAGTGTAGGAAAACTCTGAAAATAAAGTGTCTAGTACCCCGCTGGAACTGGATAATGGGGAAAAAAGGTACAGGGCAAACCACAGTCCTGTGGGTTTTAGAGATGCTCATTTTTTCTTCCTCTCTGCCCCCCAGGCCTTGTCTCCTCCGACAAGGAGAGTGCATCCTATGTGCTACAGAAGCCGGAGGGTGGGAACATGCTGGCCATCATTGTTGGTGGAGCGCAGGAGGCGCTGGATGCCCGGCCGGGATCCTGCACCTTGCTGCTGAAGAATAGGAAGGGATTTGTCCGCCTGGCCATCGAGCATGGGTGATGCAGGGGATGGGACGGAGGGGGGCTTGGGAAGGGATGCTCTGGTCTGTGGTCGGTTAATGGGGTGTTCCTGCTGGTTTTGGAGATGGGGGCATAGTGTTTTGGGGTGGGCTTTGTTAATCTTCATGCCCCTACATTGGGTTTGACTCCCCGCAGCACCCCACTGGTCCCCATCTTTTCCTTTGGGGAGAATGACCTCTTCGAGCAAGTGAGAAACCCCAAGGGCTCCTGGCTGCGGCAGGTCCAGCACCGGCTCCAGCAGATCATGGGCATCTCCCTTCCCCTCTTCCATGCACGAGGCATCTTCCAGTACAGCTTTGGGCTGGTACCTTACCGGCGGCCCATTTGCACTGTGGGTAAGTCCTTCCTCGGCACGATGCTGGCCACACTCAACCTGGCCAAATTGAGGACCAGGGACAGTCCGTGGGTTGTGTCATCCTTCTGCCGGGCTGGAGCATCTTGCCAGAGAGCACAAGCTCTGGTGGCCTGGAAATGTGCTGGCAAAGGAGCATCCCCAACTGCTCACCTGTCATACTGGTTTGGGACACTGGCTTGGTCTTATGACAGAGCTCAGGTCATCTGGGCTGCACTAGGAAAGCAAACACGGCCACCCCATCACCTCTATGGGATGCAATCCCATATGGGATCCAACCCCAATCCCAGTGCAACCCAGTAATACAAACCGCTGCAATAACGTTGGGTTAAACTTCTTCCAAGCCAATTTTACAAACACAAGTAGGACAACACCTAAGCAGTTTGCAGGTTTGCTCAGTGTCCCGAGCAGGCACAGCCGCAAACCCCAACCTATTTGCAGGTGAACAAAACAAGGCGTTTTGACCAGAGACCATGTCCATGGGAGACCAAATTTCAAGAAAGTGTTTGGTTTTGAACAAGTTTTGCCTGGTTTCAACAACACAGAGCTTGGCCCACCAGCACGGCTGATGGTCTGTGAATTAGTCTAATTAAAGAGGCTGTTTGGAAAGGTCAGAGCTCACCACCCTGATTAGGTTTGACAGCCAGCAATTACTTCTAATTGTTTTACAACCTGTTTGGATTGTCTCAATGGTTTTATGAGCTGTGCAGTATCACAAGGGCTCTTCATTAGTCTGATGAGGAGTAGCGTTACATGATGATGAAACCCTCCATCACTTGACAAACACAATTTGAGTAAGAGACCAGAGCAAGGGAGGTATCTCATGGACTTCCCTGTCCCCTGCAGGCACCTGGTCCTGTTGCTGGTGGCTCTGGGAGATGGGAAGGGGCTTCTAGTGCTAGGAATCAAATTAATTAGATTTGCCCTTGAAAAAACATTATTTTTACAGATAAGTGGGTACTTGGTTCCTAATAAAAATCAGATGTTTCAGAGAAGCTTTAATCTGAGCAAAGTGGACGCACCCCATTTGCTAATATATTTAGATAGTCTTGGGCTCCTCTGTGCCTCAGTTTCCCCATTTGCAGTGCAGATTGCCAGGGCCATGTGGGAACAGCTTGGAAAGCTCAACCCAAATTTTAGGATGATGCTGTCTTTATCTGTAGCACATCAGAGTTGTTAGGAGCAGCTGTAGGAGCTGCATTGGGATGCAGTACTTTTTACTTCAAAGAGCTACACAGAGGGTCTTTGGCATTAACCAACTTTGCAGTTGGGAAACTGAGGCTAGGGCCGATGTGACCTTGGAGATCAACAGCAGAGCCAGGATCTGAACCTCCATCTCCCCACCTCCTTGGTTGTGCTGCCTCCCAAACTCCAGGACATGACTGGGCATATCGATCCGTCCACCACATCCTTGGAGAGGTGGACCCCAGCTCCGTGCTAAGATGTGCAGAGTGTTCTGAGGGACCTGACACTGGCTCCTCCTAATGCCTGTGCTTGTTTTCCAGTTGGGAAGCCAATTCCAGTGCCGAGGAAGCACAGACCCTCCGAGGAAGAGGTTGATCAAGTCCATCAGAAATATCTAAATGAATTGTGCAAGCTCTTTGAGGAGCACAAAGCTAAATATAACATCCCAGAAGACAGACACCTGGAATTTATTTAGAGCTCCTCAAGCAAGGGGAAACCATGGGGATCATGCTCCAAGTTTTCCCCTATCTCTGGAACTATTTCACAACCTCAACTTAGTCATAGTTAACATATGGTCCATACAGTGTAGGGAGAAGGACTTGATTTTCCCAGCACTTGCATGGGTGTCGGGACAGAGTTTTCATTTTTTCTCCGTGTAGGACACATCATAAAAGATACAGAGAAGAAGGAAAAAGAAAATCCCATCTGTGGTCAGCACTATTGAAACTCCCCAGCAGAAAACTCACAGTTCCAGGCTGCCTCATAGGCCAGTTTTTCAAGATATTTCCAGGCAGATATGAATCTTTGCATTGTTTTCATTTGGAAATGGGATGATGAGCCATAATTTTTGCTGCATGTATATGTTTTTTAAAATATAATTTGCCTAGATCAACAAATGATCATTGTTTGCTTGATGCTCTTCATGTCTTCAACTGCTCTGGGTTCTTTTCTCACCACCTAAAACACAGTTTATCAGAAAGCTCATATTCCCAGCATGGTGCTGGGCACCCTCGGCAGCAACACAGTGTTATAACCCACTGGAGCAATAGAAATAAAACATTTATAAAGGGCAAGGGCTCATCCAGAGGGTTCAACCTACCTGCGCTCCAGGAGTCCTGCTTATAATTTTATTAATTTAACCCCAGATGCCCCTGCACAGGAACACCTTGGACTAGTCACCAGCTATAGCAGCACTGCCACTGTGCATTTCATTTTACAAACGAGGCCATTTCGTAAGGAAAGTGCATGGCCAGGAGACGGGAGAAGGGAGAAGTGATTTGGGACAGGAAATATGGCTCATAAAGCCATGTTTGGCAGGTGATCAAGGCTTTAAATAGCTGCTGCTTCTTGATATCCAGAACTTTATTAAACTCTGCACTTAATGGGATTTCACAACATGGAAGTTTTAGGTGGCAGGAAGCCATCTGCTCAGATCAGCTTTACATTGTGCCCATAGAGCCCTTATACCACCACCTTCTTCTCTTGTTCCCTTCATTTCTCTTTCTCTTCCCCATGTCCCACTCCACCAAAAAATCCACCAAATATCCTGCAGAGCACATGCACTTCATCGCACCAGGGATTTTTGCTACCGTAGCTGCAAGAATTGCATTTAACAAAGAAAACACACAGAACTGTTAATCATCTCACAATACCAGGGCCACCACTGTGTTTTGTTTTCTTTTCCCTTTTCTCCTGCCCTGATCGAATTACTCCACCGGACTCTTAATCTGAACGACCAGCTGCAAATCCCTCCTATTCCCAGAAAACAAGCAGCAACAGGGAAGAATTTGATGGAGCTCTTATCGACATTTCTAAACACTCCTGTAATCCCACACTTAATCCAGTCAAATAAAGCAGGTCACCTGCTATGATTTCTTGCTTACTTTCTATTAATAGACTTTTTCTTTTGTCCTTAATTAAGGACAGAGGTGCCTACGCAGGAGGAAGATTTATGCACCAAGAAAATAAAAATAATTCTCTCCCACCCTTTTCTTTTGTGTTCATCACCATCCAAGCTTTACCATAATTCCAGTTGTTTTTTTCCTATCCTTTCTTCTGCCTTCCCTGCTATTGCCCATGCCACCCGTAGATCCCAGGAACGTTGCCATGACCTTCTGCAAACATCCCGATGGGGATCGGTGCAGGAGGGGAGCGATGGGGATGTCCCCAGGAACACGGCAAGGGGCGCTGTGGGGATGGGGGAGGGCTCTGGGGGTGAGGACAAGGAGATGAGAACTTGATGCAATGGGAAAAGGAGCCAAGGTGCCGCTGTTGGGGTGGAAATCAGCAGCGCATGAGGGAGAGGATTTGGGGAGGTGTTGGCTGGGTGGCTGGATGGGGTGGTATTGTGGGGATGTAGGAAATGGGGAGGGAGGAGGATGCACGGTCCAGCCCATGGCATGGACAAGGATGGGAAGTGTTGGTACCGACAAGAGGGGTTGGATCGGTAGGAGTGACATGACTCTGCCCCAACATGATGGAGAAGCCGCATTAGAAGGTGTGCTCCCCAACTGTCCATGAGGACCTCAGTTTTCCCATTTGGGGACCTGGCATGGTGATGCCTCCAATGCCAGAGACAAACGTACCTGGGAGGTGGGATGGTCCATCAACTTCCTGACCAGTGATGCCATCCTGAAAGAGAGAAAAGGCTGAAAACAGGTGGTCGGGAAAAAAAATCCCAGAAAGGAATGGGGAGGAGGATGCTGGAGCTGTGTGAGGGCTGATAGGGCGGTCAGGGGTACGCAAGACCCAAAGGCAAAGGAAGACTGCAGTGCTGGAGAAGAGAGGTCAGTGGAGGGCGTTGGATATATATAATTGGCTTCCTTCAAGGTCGGTTTTATCTCACAGGCTGGAACATGTCCTCGATCCCACAGGGACCTATATAACCCAGGAGAGGTCAGTGCCTGGGCTTGTGTTATGTATAACATTAAGAATAATAATTCATAGGCGTCCTTGCAGCTGGGGCTATTCAGGGGGCTCAGCGTGGTGAGAGTTCTCGTCTTCTCGAGAGGCCAGAGCTGTCTCCAAGCGAAATGCCGTGAGGTGAGAAGATTTTGTGCTATTTCAGCCTCACGCAGAGCTGTCCGGAGGATTAAAACTCCTCCGATTTAACGCAAGGCAGGAGAAACCTTAAGAAAAGAGGACTGCCTGGATCAGCCAGTCAAACCAAACTACGTTTGGGTTTGGACCCTGCAGCTCGGAACTGGCTCAGTTGGAGGCACAAATGCTGGGACTGGAGGACATCCAAGCTGTCGCCTCAAAATAAGGATCATTTAAAGCTAAAACAACACAGTATGTTTCCTTCCAGCATGTCCACTCCCTACTTCTGCGACTGGCTTTGATTTGAGAAACAAGCCCAAGGAGAAGTGATAAATCCATTGCCTGTCTTGCAGAAATTTCAAATTTCAGCCTTTTGGGGACTTCTGTGGAAATTCCAATTTGGAAAATATGGTAAAAAATAAAAGTGTAGTGATTCGGTATTCCCCTCCTGCCTGTCTCTTCCTCCGACTGCTTCCCTCATGATCTCTCCAGCATTTCTGTTGCGAGAGGGTCTAATCTGGATTTGCCTTACTTAGTGGGTTCAGATCATGAGGCTCAGAAGAAAACCTCCGACGACTGATGAATACAAAATACGAACTAATTCCCCAAGAGGAAGAAAGCCAAGCAAAATGTTTTTTTTGCCCTTCTGTAGCTCTAGTCCCGCAAAATTGTTTTACTGCCCTGGGAATGGGGTTAAAAGGTTGCTTGCTGTTGTGGCAAACAACTAGAAAAATGTGTGGGTTTCTGCTCAGGGAAAGATTTCCTGCTTTTAATTCAATAAAGACCCAAATTGTGGTACGTTAAACATCCCTCCCTCAGGCCGCAGAGACTTTTCCTTTTCAAGAGAAGAAATAAAATTGCAAATGCATCTGAAACCCATCGCTTTGCTTTCAAAACTATTTAAAGCATTTAAAAATCAATCAAAAACACAGGTCTCCACAGGAATGTGGACACTTTTTTTTTGCATAATCTTTTTGTTCTGACTGATTTGAACCCAATGAGCTGCTTTTCTGCCTCTCCCATCACCTGAGATCCCCTTTTGACACAGCCTTCCTGGGAGGAACCATCCGATACAGGATTTTGGCAGACCACCTTGTTCAGGTGATAAAAAACCACCAGCAGAGAAATAACCTGCAGTGACCGATGCGCTGCATGAGGCAAGCAGTTATATGTTGGATTTAAAGAAATACTGGATATGGCTGATCCATTTTTCAAGCTTGTGGCTACACTTACTCCTGCCCATGTCCCATCCCCAGCCCACTCAGAGATGCTAAGCATATGACCATAGGACACCATGCTCAGCAGATAAAGCTGGGGAAGAAGAAGGAAGGGGGGACGTTGGGAGTGATGGCGTTTGTCTTCCCAAGTCCCCATTAGGCGTGATGGAGCCCTGCTGTCCTGGAGATGGCTGAACACCTGCCTGCCCATGGGAAGTGGGGAATGGATTCCCTGTTTTTCTTTGCTTGTGTGCACGGCTTTTGCTTTACCTATTAAACTGTCTTTATCTCAACCCACAAGTTTTCTCACTTTAACCCTTCCAATTCTCTCCCCCATTCCTCCAGGGGGGAGTGAGCGAGCGGCTGCATGGGGCTTCGTTGCCAGCTGGGGTTAAACCACGACAAGTTATTAGCAAAGGAAATGTCTGTAAAATCAGGTAGTCATGAACCAGCATTTTGGATGTTGGGGTACAAAATAATGCCTGTGAGCCAAACGGATTCATGTTTTATTAGATCGTATGAAGCCAACGAAAAGCATGTTTTCAATGAGCAACTCAAGATGCACTGAAAATTACATACAGAAAGCACTATGGAAATCATTTGAAATCACTTGGATTTGTGAAATGCTCACAGAAAATGCATGCGCAGAAAATCGTGCATGCACAGAAAAAAACGTATGCACAGGAAAAAAAAAAATGCACAGGAAAAAAAGCACCGCCATCAGCAAGCACAGAACTTGATTGCTTATTGCAAACAAACGATTCATGGCCAAGGGTAGGTGTGGATGCCGGAGGAATTCACCTCCACATCACAGAGTACTTTGAACTGAGAGAACAACGCTGCATTGCCAAGAGCACGTAAACAACGCGATACGATTCTTCCACCGAGGAGATACCGTAAGGTCAGGATTTTCAGATGTCTTTACAAAGTGCTTAGCTTCTCCCTTCTGAAAAGGAGATCCTTTAAGCTGCTGCATGGCGGGATTTCCTAGCAAGGCTAAGCACCTCATTTTACTCATCAGCAACCCCAAATCTTGACTTGAGAGACTTGGTATCACTGTGTTCTCACTCGCTGGAGTCACAGTGTGTCCCTCAGATTAGGGAATGAGCTGGGCTACGGGTTTTTCCATGTTGTATTTTATATCAGTCCCATGAAATTACCTACAAATCCCACGGTGTGCCTTGCTTCCAAGAACTGCCAAGCACTTTACAAGTAAATAGGATCCATAA